AGTTTTGAATTTAATTATTTTTTAGAAATATTTAACAGAATATTTAAGGAATCCGATATACTTTTTAATATAATACAATCTAAAATTGTAGATATCGGATACTGCATGAAAAAAATTGAGGATTTTAAATTATTTATTGACCATTTTTACGAAGAAAATGAAAACATGTATACAAAAAATGTTAATTTTTTTGGAGAACCAAAAAAAAACGAAATATAACTGATCTAACCTCACATTAAAGAAGAATTTTTAGAGAAATAGTGGATAACATCAAAACCGAAATTTGTGATCGCTATAGAGAAATAGGACAGTTACGCTTTTTTTGTCCTTTAGATCCAGATTCGTTTTCTTTATTCAAATCTGAGTTTCCAGAAGTGATTTTTTCGGAATTAAAAGAAAAGTATACCGAAAAATTTGATTTTGACCGACTGAAAAACGAATTGCATTGTTTGTATTCTTCATCCGAATTTGCTAAGCTTAATGCTTATGAATTAATTAAGTTTTGTGAAGACAAGAAGATGTGCCACGTGTTTCCTCAATTAGTATTGTTAGGAAAATTGATGTTAACTATACCAGCTAGTAGTGCGTCTGCAGAACGTTCGTTTTCTGGTTTAAAAAGAATTCACACTTATTTACGAAATACACAGGGACAAGAACGGTTAAGTAATTTAGCAATAATCTCTTTGGAAAGGGACATAATGCAGGACTTAAAGCGAACCAATTTTTATGATGACGTTTTAAAAGAATTTTTTAAAAAAGATCGCCGCTTAGACTTAATTTACAAATAATTCTAATGCGATTGGAATACTATATTACTAAATTACTTAATTACTTAATTCTGTGCGACAGAAAAGTTCGTCAGGTATGTGCACTGCACATTGTGCAGTTTTAACATTAACACTGACTAAGTTAGTTTCGTGTGACATTAAGTTCGATTTTTAAAGTTTAAATATACATAAACATAGACGATCTAAGACATTTTGGTCATAGAATCAATTTCCAGACTTGGGGTAAGTTATAGTTATATTAGATTTTGACTTTAATAAAAATGCCTACCTTGCTTTAAATAGCACTGCACGCCACTGGTAAACACTATACTTTTTTGTCGAGTTGTGGTGCTAATTATTAATTAATTTTTGGAAAAATAAAGAAAGTAACATAAGTAAAAAGTATACAATTTGGGTACCCACAAAAGAACTGTAGCATCGTCATGTTAGCGGGAGGAAATGGAACCTGTCTTACCTGATTAGCGGGAGGGAATGAACATATATACAGGGGAAGGAATAGGATTGTTCACAGCGGGAGATATGAATGTCATTAATTATCAACAATTGCAAATACAATCGGCGCATTATTAACCACTTGACAAAAAATCCCTTTTTATAAAAATAATTTATTAATAGTCCGGTTAATCAGATTAAGTTCCAGTGAACTTGAAAACTAATTAGTTTATCTGACAGGCATTGATTATTGTGAGGACAATGAGTATACATGCATGGTAGTTATGTGACAGATACGTTATCTAAGATAAACTCTAACCAAATAATATAAAATTCTTCAAATCACAGTCAATATTAAAATCAGCCAATCACTGATGCCTAACAACGTGAGTAATGAGTTCATTATTCCCGTTGTTAGGCAGGGCTTTTATCATTATATAGGAAAAAAACCTGAAATTTTTATACATATGTTATCGGTGAGATTAAAAACAGAACAGGTCCAAAAATTTTATTTTGCATTTTTGTGAGAAGTTGTAAATTATTTTAAAAAATTTAACTATTATATTTTATAAAATAGTTGAAATATTCACACAAAAATGCATTTTGAACTATAAAACTGATTTTATTAAATAATTTGTCAAAATTTTAACTTTTGGACTTGTACTGTTATTAATCTCACCGATTCAATTATACTACCCCATTATTAAAGTTATGGTATTTTTTTTTTAATTTCACCCATACGAAAAAAATTAAATATTAATAAAAAGTTAAATGCTCAGATCTTTTTTAAAAACTGATTAATCAAGATGGTTTTTCCATTTTTATTTGTTTTTAAACGTACTTTCAGTCTATTCCATAAAGTTGTTTAGTTTTTAAAAAAAAACATTAATTTTTCAATATTCCTATTTTTTCAAAAATGTTATGTTTAAAAAAACTTTGATTTATTCACCGTTTATGTCGCAAATCTCATCATGGGCCAACTTTTTTCAAGAAGCAGATCTTTTTATAAAGGGTAACTTTTTTTCGTAAAATTACTAATTAACTAAAAAGTTTCCCATATGTAGTCGACAGTCGACTGCAGTCCAGTTTTTAAAACATTCCATTTTTACCAAAAATTCGACATTGTAATAATTAATATACGTTACCTAAAATAGGTAGTGCTGTTTTTGGGTTTTCTCAATTTACCATCTCACTGGAACACCCGTTCCAGTGAGATGGTACTAAACATTTTAAACAATTTTTTTATGCCAACTTGATTTTTAAAAGTATAAATTTAAATCGCTTTCTTCACAATTTTGTTTTGTTTTATTGCAGCGTCCTCTGGAAAAACCCGATGGTTTAAACGTTTCGGACCCATCAAAAGAACATCGTCAGGACCTCTGTGAAAAATGCAAACAACTTGGTCATTTCTGCGGGCGAGGATTTAGGCGGGGATTTAGGATTTAGGTGGTAAGGTGCCCGGTTCAGTGGTTTTCCGGGGGCCCCTTACCCACCTTATTTTACCTTTATTTAAATGATGTAACACCCAAATTATAAAAATCAAAATTTCCTTACATTAAAAATTATTTAGTTCAATAAATTCAGCTCAATAAATATTATATCGAAAAAAGGACTTTTACTAGATTCCCAATTCAATGCTTACATAACAAAAACTAAGTATGGGTGTATTGAAGTAATGAAATGTGTATTTATTTAAATTTAGAAAATAAATTAATAATTTCGTTTTATTTTTATGTTCCGGGTAAGATTTTTTCTAATAAAAAAATACCATATTTTTGTCACTATTATAAATAAATACTTTTCAATAAATTGAAGAAAAATCTTATGAAAAAAAGCATTTAACAATTATAAACACACAAAAAGATGTTATTTTAACAGCTAAAATTTGGCAACGTCGTATATAACACGATAGCCAAAAGGTTTGTATCATAGACATACTAATATGTAGATGGTTTTTATAATGAACCATTTTGTTTGTAGCTAGGCGATGCATCGCGATGTAAGCAAATGATTTAGAAAAATTTATATAACTAACCAAAATTTTATTTAGTTGACAATTCATATCATACGTGGACGTATTACTATGTCTATGGTATTATATATTTTAAATTCCCCACTTATGAACTGCCTAAGGTAAAATGATGCAGCAAATCTATAAATTTCCCCTCAAAAAAGGAAACAAGGTCGTCTATACAAATAAACTATGCAATCTATTGACCACACCCATGTAATTGGGTACTTCCCCCAAAGTACCTAATTGGGTATTTTCCCTATAGCCTTTGTTTGCGATGTGCGTATTATCTCTGGTATTATTCAGTAGCAGTTGATTTTTGCTCGTTACACCGATAGGACAATTTTGCCAGTACAACAAAAGTAACAAATATATCAACATTTGTTCATACATACGATCATAAATTTATAATGAGGTAAGCATTTTAGATGTTTGCACTGAAAACTTTTTGTAATGATTTTGTTTGTTTTTTAGGCCCGTCGGAAAAAACCATAGAAAAAGTATAAAAACCAAAGGCCCAAGCAGCATTTTTGGTTCCAAAAACCATTGTCAAAGTGGTGATAACTTTAAATTAGTTAAGTATACTAAACAGCTACTTTAATTTTTACTTAAAAGTAATTCTAACTTTTAAATAGCAATATTTTGTAACAGAAACTTAATTTTTCCTTAAATTGTTACTATAAAGTAATAAACATTTAAGTAAAACTTGGTTGCCCCCAAGAAGACTTTGCAACTTTAAAAAAGGTGTTATAAGTAAAAAAAACTTTCGAGTAAATTTAATTTGTAGCAGTTACTTTCGGTTGCTACCTAAAGATTACATTATAATTATTTTTACTTTGTAGTCCCTTTGCAAGTTAAAATCTCGAAACTGGAACATGAGTTAAAAACTACAAAGTTAATAACTTAAAAGTTATTATTTTAGTATTTGGAACGTTTATGGTACTAACCAAAACAACCGTAAAGTGGAAAAAAACTTTAAAGTAGCGAAAACTACTTCAAAGGAAAATGCTTCTTATCGGCCATTTTTTACTGTACAGTACCACGTGGTAATGTAAATAATAAATTATTTTAATTGTTTGTAAATGGTTGTTTACTTTTTAATAAATAGAAATATTATTGGTAATAGACGGTATTAATAATTAAATAAAAAATAATAATAATAAATATTAATATTTTTTTATTTATAAACATTACTAAATAAATAATTTGTTTATACTTAAATATTGATGAAGCGCATTTATTTTACAAAAGCTAAATTCATAAGTTCAACAGTAAAATTTAAAGGGTTTATAAATCTACCTGTCTAATTAAACATTATATTGTTATTCTGGAAGTTATAAACTACCAGTACATATTTAATAAACGATGACATTGAAAAGCCAAGTCCGTAGTGGTTCCATTTAAAAAAGGAGGGATAGTATAATCTAATATAAGTTTGACAAAGACAGTTAATACAGAAGTAAAAACAAATAATAAAAGTAATTATAACGCTCTAGCAACGATATTGGAACGTTCTAGTAACGTAGCAGCTACGTCCCAAATAGTAGAAGGGTTTATAGCTAGTGACATATTTGCTACCTTTTTGGAACTCAATAATTGTTCCCCACTTTAGTCGTAACGTAGTAATGAAAGAGTAATATAAAGAGACCGGCGACTGTCGCAAAACACTTTGAAGTTTCTTCAATAGTCCCATATACGTAACAAATACTTAAATTGTTGCTTGGGGGTGCTTTGGAGAGTACAAATGTCCTAAATGCAACCGAACATGGATGTCGGGTAATTCTTGGCTTAATATGGGGCAACAATGCCAACAGTGCCATATCAATGTTTTACCACATAAACAGGTAAAATAATAATTTTATAAAAAATTAATAATTCCAAAATAATAATGTTTTTAGTATTTCTAAAAAAAGTTTATGGAAATCCGTCCATAAATAGCAAAGTTACGTTTTTGACATATGTATATGGGGCAAAGTGTACCAGGTGAAAAAATTTTTGTCACCGATTTTGTTTAAACTTTACTTATTTGTTGTTCTTATAACGAAGAATCATAGCATAAATTTTTTTTGCTCTAGGATTATTCATTCAAGAGTTATGGATTATTGAAATTTATCGATTTTTTACTTTTTGGTGAAATCGCTTTTTATTTAAAAATTCAACTTCTGTTCATCTCTTTATTAAATATTTCAATTTAACCACCTTAAATGATTTTTTTCGTACTTTTCAATGGGCTATACCGCTTTTGCAAAAAAATAAAAATTGCAATTTTTTTTGAAATTTTGCAAAATTATGCATTTTTTGAAACAATGTGTATTTTTTACTTTTTTTTTAAATAGCATAAAATCCAAGTTTATTATGTTACCTTTGAATAAAAAAATTTAGAGTGGGCCCGACATGTAGAAGGGAAGTTTTTCATATTTGAATGCCGCACGGTCTAGCCATCGAATAGCTACTACACTGCCGTATGCGTTTATACCCAGTAGATGCGAGTAAACGAATACAAAATGATAATTTAAAATGTAAAATTATGTTTGAGTAGTCAATGATGTATTTTAAATATTTACACTGCCGCACGATATAGTTTTTTAACTGTATTTTTTTGCACAAATTGTTTAAGCATGGGTCTACATAGATTGCGCAAGGAGGATCGATGATATTAAATAAAAAATGTATTGTTATAACCGTAACGGCTTGCCTATAAGCTGAATGGCGCCTTTACGGTTATAACAATACATTTTTTATTTAATATCATCGACCCTCCTTGCGAAATCTATGTAGACCCATGCTTAAACAATTTGTGCAAAAAAATACAGTTTATATACAAAAGTGCTCTTTTAGTTTCACCCTTACTTCTTAAGAAGTCCCATAAGCCAACTTAATGGCTTGTGCGGGTTAGGGGTAGGAACGGACCGCGGGCTTAAAGTCCCCTCCGAATGACTAATACACAATAAAAAAAACTATATCGTGCGGCAGTGTAAATATTTAAAATACATCATTGACTACTCAAACATAATTTTACATTTTAAATTATCATTTTGTATTGGTTTACTCGCATCTACTGGGTATAAACGCATACGGCAGTGTAGTAGCTATTCGATGGCTAGACCGTGCGGCATTCAAATATGAAAAACTTCCCTTCTTCATGTCGGGCCCACTCTAAATTTTTTTTTATTCAAAGGTTACATAATAAACTTGGATTTTATGCTATTTTAAAAAAAATTAAAAAATACACATTGTTTCAAAAAATGCAAAATTTTGCAAAATTTCAATAAAAAATTGCAATTTTTATTTTTTTGCAAAAACGGTATAGCTCATTGAAAAGTACGGAAAAAATCATTTAAGGTGGTTAAATTGAAATATTTAATAAAGAGATGAACAGAAGTTATGAATTTTTAAATAAAAAGCGATTTCACCAAAAAGTAAAAAATCGATAAATTTCAATAATCCATAACTCTTGAATGAACAATCCTAGAGCAAAAAAATTTTATGCTATGATTCTTCGTTATAAGAACAACAAATAAGTAAAATTTAAACAAAATCGGTGACAAAAAATTTTTCACCTGGTACACTTGGCAAATTTTGCCCCATATACGGGTGATTCCAGTGAAAAAGTTTTTTTTATCAAAGTTATTTATTAATACTGTTTAAGGACCAGTTTATCAGATTAAGTTAAAATTAAATTGATAAACTAATTAGTTTATCTTATAGATAATTTCTACATATATTGATTATTGTTATTTTTATTAATTAATATTTTTAATTTTTTCAATTTTTGTTACCCAACCGAAAAAAAGTTAAATATTTAAAAAAAAATGCTTTTTTTGACATTTTACAATCTTTTTTTTTAATTTATTTTTTTATGTTTTATTGCAGCGTCCTCTGAAAAAACCCGACGGTCTTAACGTTTCTGACCCATCAAAAGAGCATCCCCAGGACCTCTGTCAAAAATGCAAACAACTTGGCCATTTTTGCGGGCTAAGATTAAAATGGTGAGGTGCCGGTTCAGTTGTTTTTTAGAGGGCCCTTACCCACCTTATTTTACTTGGGCTAAACCTTTATTTAAATTATGTAAACACCCAAATTATAAAAATCAAAATTCCCTTGTATTAAAAATTATTTAAATTTTTTTTTACTATTTAGCTGTTTTTTAATAAATATTATATGAAAAAAACACTTTTACTATACCTATAGGTATCTAATTATACTGTTATAAATAATATAATTAGGTTGTATAATTGTTTCTACAAACATTTTATTTAACATTTAGTAACCCTTACCAGAAGGTTTATAAAGGAGTTTTATAAAGTTTGCTTTTACCTGTTTTATAAAACTATTGTGTCTTTAATTTTAGTTATTAATTATTTATGTGGTTAATAACCCAAAAATGTTTAGTAATTGAAACAGAAATAAAGCATAGTATTAGCTTTCGACGCAATGCTTTTTCATAATTTTAATAAAAAATTGGTTGAAAAGAAAATATTTAGCATATATATATATATTTAATATATAAGTAATATAATATTATTAACATTTAAATTTTATTAAATCAAATAATTAGTGAAATAAATTGATTCCATTGCGTTAAAACCATTAGTACTGCAGGCAAAAATGGCGAACCTGACAACACTAGTTTTGAGCGGTTAGATGATTGCCTATCAAAAGTTTTATAACATCACTTCTAGTAACTACAATGCATATAAGAGTTTTAAAATCATATAATAACAATTTAAGTAACTTAGATAGTCCTATAAAAATGAGCTGGTATCTAGGTTATATAAAATTACCGTGAGCAATATAAGAGGCTTAAGGTTGATAATACATTCTTTCTGCCATAATTGTTTTTTGCATAAAATAAATGTATTATCGAATTGTCTTACAAAAACAACTTAATTGATCAAACCAAGGTAAAAAATTCAACACTTTGTTTAATGTAGGTAAGCCAAAGAAAGAAATTGGTGTATTTAAAAAAATATATTCATATATTTATTATTCCTTTGCGAGAAATCCTATTGCAAAGAAAACTAACCAAATAATAAACAATTAAATTGTCTATTAGGAGAGTCTGAAATCCATTTCTAAATTATTTCGTATAAAGTGAGGTTAGCCAGCAGGGCAGTCTTGTTGAAATGCACCCCTTACATAATTTAATAATCATAATCATCATGATATACATTATTGATAGCACTGAAAATTTTGGACTGTAATGTTGCCTAATTTATTTTCGAGCTTATGTACCTTCGACGTTTTGTGATTTCGCTTGGTGGCAGTAGTACGTAACACAAGCGCACTATGCACTAACGCCAAATTAAAATTCTGTTTACGAGTGATAACTAACAATTTAATTCATCGAATTTTTCATCGAGAAAATTCCTCTTGCGCTTACAGATTTAAATATTGTCTAATTTTTATTCCAAAATAAATATTCTACTTTAACTTAATTTTAAATTAATAAATGAAATGGTATTATTTAGATATAAACACCCTTTTTGAATAGAAAAAAACATTCATACAATAAAATCTGAGGCTTAAAGATGTAGTTTACACCAGAATGATGTAAATATATATGGAAACTTATCTGATACACCAAAAAATAAATTGGTAGATTTTAATTTATAATTAAATTTATTTTAGTAATTTTTATGATTGTTTATATTTTCTAGGCAACTTTTAATTTCGGTAATTTTTGTTTTGAGTTAATTTTTTGATGTCATTAAAAAGTAAAACAGCGTGCCATAGTTATCAGTCAATATTGCAATGGCAATTTACGTAGCATTCGTAGCATTAGATAAAAGTTATTATTTTTATCCTGTAGCCCTTACAATACAAGCATTAGTAAATTGCTAAGAAGATGTGCAGATAGGGTCAAAAATGCAACAGATAAGTAATTGAAGACATAATTAAATGTATAGATATGTTACATTTTAATTGTAATTTTAAATAATAAAAGTTTAAAATGTCTTTATTATTATCCACTTGTTTTGAATACACCTATCCCATGAATCGGATTTTTTGATATATCATGCGTGAAAAAGCGTATCTTTTTCTTACGCTCGCAAGTGGTATTTATGGAATAGGTCTATTATTTTATTTTAATATTGTTAAAAAAAAAACTAAAGAATATCTTCTTTAATATGCTTGAATTTTTTATAACAGAATTTTATAAAATAAATTGTTTTTCGAATTTATTTGTCTTCTTTAAAATCGTTATTTTAACATAATATGGACGTATTAAACTGGACGTTCAATAAATGTCCATTTAAAGTCCACTGTAAGTATATATACAGCACAAGATGTCCAATGGACATCTATTGGACGTCCATTGGATATTTTTGCTGTAGGAGTACTGACATTCGATGAACGTTCACTAATCTACGTTAGATGGATGTCTAAGGAATGTCCATATAAAATCCACGACTGACATTCTATGGACGTCCTATGGTTATCCGTACAGATACAGATACGGACGTCCATCGTATATACAATGTACGTTTTTGTGCTGTATGGTAGTAGTTTTGATATGATTCGTCTACTGGTTTTAATTACCTATATAGAGGATTAAATTTTTTTTAACAAAATCAAAAATTATATGAATCCCCAGAAATTTATGAACTTTTTAATGAAAAAAGATGTAACAAAAAATAAAACATATTTAAATTCCTTGAAGTTTTTTCGAGAGTTTTTTCTAAAGGTATAATTGCATGTTTTCAATTTTTCTAGTAAAAAGTTATCCAATGGTAATTTTGCTAAGGTTATCCCACTGTGTAACGCGTTTATTGTCGATGGCTGTGATTGTCCGTTAGAGCACAAAGTCGTCCATATGGTGTTCATAGGACATCCGTCTCTGTACAAATGGATATCCATAGTATGTCCAAGAATATTATATGGACGTTTCCTGTACGCACATATAACGTAACTTTGGCACACTATAGGATATCCATGTTATGTAATAAATGTACATACAATGTACGTTGGAAGTGGACTTCCATATGATGTCAAAATGAGCCTAGAAACGAAAATTGTTGAAAGATTTTGGTTTACTTATTTATTCTGAGTTATGTATACATTTGTTTATTCTAATCAAATTACAAACATATAGAGTTTAGGATAAAAAAAGGTTTAGACAGTGGCGGCTGGTGGATTTTGGTATACCAATATCTCAGTTATTAGACATCTGGCCCATATAAACCATATATGAGTTTATAATGACATTAAATAGACAATTTCTGCGCAAGCATAATTTAAATTAAAGTTGCGAAAAAAGTTAGTTTTTCAGCGCGCCTCACCAGCCCCCTACACCCAATTAAGATTATTCAAGTGGTGCAATTCATAATTCACCAAAGTTTAGCAACAAAATAAAAATCCAAGAATCACAGATTTTATACCATTTTTAATTTTTATTATTTTTTTAACTAAAATTTAAAATGGTATAATTGCACCACTTTATTTTGAATAATCTTAATTTTGGGGGTAGGGGGCTGGTAAAGCGGGCTGAAAACTAACTTTTTTTCGCAAATTTCAATTTAATTTCTGCTTGCGCACAAATTTTCTATTCAATGTCATTATAAACTCATATAAGTTTGATATGGGCCCCATAACTGATATATTGGTATTATAGTGAATTAATTAAATTTTATTTTATATTTAACACTATACAAATAATTCAAGTAAAAAAATATTAGTTTTTAACATTTTGAAATAATCCAATGACATTGCCTTTAATAATAATATGTCACTGACTACCATATGGTATCATATGATACGGTTTAGTTGGCAAATTCTAGGGACCACAAATTTATAATGGGCTACATTAAGTACACCAGTACACTAGTACACTAGTTTAGTGGAGAATATAATTGTGGTTATGTTAAAATTATAAGAATATGTTTATAAATTTTGAAATATCAAATAAAGCTGTTAAAAAATGCAATCACTTTACCTTAATTACCTATATAATATATATAATATGTTTATAAATTTTGAAATATCAAATAAAGCTGTTAAAAAATGCAATCACTTTACCTTTGATCGAGTCGAGCCGGCTTGGCGCGAATTTTTTATTGCTGACCGGCGTTTTTTTATATAAACCAAACCTATTAATAAAGTTTAATTCGTAACTTGGTATTTCTGAGGTGTTTCTTTAAATAAAATTATAGTTACTATATAGTAAATTAATTTTGCAAACAAAACAATTTCAACAATTAACAACAAATAAAACATTTGTTATTTTTGAAGTGTAGTTAATTGTAAACATTGTTTTGTTTGATATTTTTGTAAAATGTATTTAAGTATGGTAGCCGTTATCGACCGCAGGAGTCCTAATTAGACTTTAAACATCTTATTGTTTCTTGTCTTGTGTCCCCATCCATGGATATTCTATGGACGTTCTTCTGGAACATCCTAAGGACATGGGAAAGCGTAAACTCCATGGACGTACATTCAAAGTCCATGTAGTTTGGACCTTTAATTGTTAGAGAATCAAGGGATACGGCCCTGCTTCTCTCGCGATGCTGACTCAGGTTCCTGCCTAATATAAACAATATATGAATTGATTTGAATGTTCACAGTTTTTAGTTTCAGTTTAAAGAGTTATGTCAAGTTAGTCTAAGCGTTTTTATACGAAATTGTATTCAAGCTTTTACTCTATTAAATATATGTTTTTCTTAAATTACTGAATTAAATTTATGAATTCCTAACAAATCAGAAGTGAGATACACCCAAGTACGCGCCGTGTAAAAGACATTGCGGCCGTGGTCGGTAATATTGTGCAAAAACTGAAAAGTGTCTCAAGTGCGAGTTATTACGACAGGAAGGAATTCCTGTTTATAAGTGAACAGTGAGAACACTCAGTAATGGGAAAACCAAAGCGTCGACGTCGCACGTCGACGTCTTCCTCAAGTAGCAGTAGTAGTTCTTCGTCTACAAGTTCAAGTTCTGGCCCATCCAGAAGAAATCGAAGAGCGAAAGCAAAAGTGCAAAAGTTGAAAAAACAAATGGAATCTCTACGAAAGAAAGTGCGAACCAATTCTACGGGGCTCAAGGTAAAGATTGACGAAAAACTAATTCCCGCTTTCGATCCATCTGTTGAAAACCAAGATGCCGTGGATTGGGATCCCAGTGGCAA